ATTTCTTGTACAGTAAACTTCAGTAAGTTCCGTATAAAATAAAAATACATTATACTGCTACTTGTACACAATATAAAAGTAAATTGAGTAAAAAATATTAAATGAATAATTGACTCAATTTATAAGAGCTTATGATTTTAGTGAAACAATTCTAATGTATCAATTTAAAAGATTTAATTTATCAATTTAATTTTCATGTTAATATTCAATTTTCTGCTCAAACATTAAAAAACACTTAATTACTATTAAATTTAGTATCATTTATATTAATATAATTCTTAGAGTATTGGGGAAAGTTTTTGATAAATTAAAATCAGCAGAGTATTATTAAAAATATATCTATGAATAAGATTTTGCAGTGATTGCGATAAATAGCTTACAGGAAATGTAACTAAAAAGTCGAGAAAACCTCCACATTTATAAATATTTTGAGGCTCTTTCAAAATAATTGCCTTAATTATAATATCAATCACTTCTTTGGTCTGATTTCTTGATGCTTTGAGTACTCGTTGCGACGACTTCTCGAAACTATTGCGATAATTATCACTGAAAACACATTTGACATCTTCAGGTGTTTGATCCCACACTCTGTCCAAAGTGGTCTTCATAAGAGTCCAATCAGTTATAGGCGTGCGATAGAGGACCGGCTCTATTGTTATCACTTTTATCTTCAAATTTTCAACTTCTTTGCGAAGTCCGTCAGAAAAAGATCTGATGGCGTGTTTGGACATTGAATAAAAACATAGACCATTAAATGTGGTCCGACCTACAAATGTACATTTATTAATAAATTAAATAGCGGAAAAGATTTTTAATCAATTATTTATTAGTTTACATTTAAGAAAGACTAAACAGTATTGAAATTATTAAATCAAATGCATTGAGTTTACCGGCAATACTGGATATATTAATAATTCTTCCCATCGATCGTCTCAATAGAGGCAACGATTGTTTGGTGACTCTGACGGCACCGAAAACATTAACACCAAACGTATCATTCAATTCTTGGACATCAAATCCCCACTCTATGGGAGCATTGATAGCAATGCCAGCGTTATTAACAACAGCCCACAGGGGAAGACCTGAACATTCAATTTGTTTGATACCATTGACCACATCTGTAGGATCTGTGACATCCATTTTTAACACTTGAAGTCTTTGAGAGCAAACACGAGTTAATTCTTGGGCACCATTTAGGTCAGCATTTAAAACGCCGGCAAACACATAAAACCCCAATTTATCGCACTCTATGGCCAATTGGTGCCCAAATCCTGAATCACATCCAGTGATAAGAACTGCCCGATTCGTTGCCAAAACTTTTTCGGTTGAAATTTTCTTATAGATTGCATTCGAGATAAACCACGAAATTATTGGAGATATTATTAAAACACAAAATACTTTATATATTTCAAAGGTTTGTGAAATGAATGTAATTAACATAAAATTTGATAATAAAAAACTTGAGATGTATACGAACATATTAATAGCAGACATTTTTGTAAAAATTATATATTTTATTTCTAAAGTCACTTATATAAGATTTGAAAACTTTAAATATTTTAAAGGAAAATATTTACAATGTTTTGTGTATTCAGTTTCAAGGATATCAAAAGCAAACATTGTTTGACTGAGAATTGAAAGCTCATCTCCTTGTTTATTTATTCCTAGACTATTGGAATTATTATTTGAAATTAGTGTTGTATTGCTATCAATTATCCAATTATTGCAATTTTATTATCACTAAATCTTTTAAAAAGTAATATAACTTAATTACTGTTTAAAATTACTTAATGTTGAAATTCAAACTTACTTACATATAAGTTATTTTTATTTATGCTTGTTGCAATTAAAAAATAAATTATTATGATAACATTTGCAAATGATTATTTTTATCAATGTATACAACACAAGAATATTGAACTTAATAATAAAAATATTTAAAAAGTAACAAAATATTATATTTTAAAATAAATATCTTTAAAAGAACATAAGTATTTATGTCAAAAGTAAACCTTCAATAATACATTTAATTATACAATTATACAATTATATATAATTATACAATCAAATAACTGATTACAAAGAACTTTTGCCGACAATATGATTATTGTTTGCATTTATAAAAATCCAGAGCCATTTTCCACGCCTTTCCCGTCAGAAAGAAGTCTTGAGCCGATTCTGGAAGGATGGAGAGGAACCAAATGGAGGGCTTCTCTGTAATGGCGGCACATCTGTAGTAGAGGTCGGGTTCGCAAAGAGTGATGGCCTTCTGCTGGACGTCCAGTACTTCGTGTATCTGTGGTCGAGATATCATGACATTGTATTTCAAGCGATTTCTCATTTGTTGGTGAAATCTATGGCCGCCATAGTCTTCGCGTATTTGCGGATCAGTTTTGTCCCATATCTGATCCAACGCATTGGAAAGTGTGTCCAAATTGACGATTTCTGTTTTGTACATATTTGGCTCTATTGTCACCACTTTTACACCAAAACGACTCAACTCTTTGCGGAGTCCATCAGAGAAGGCTCTAACCGCGTATTTAGACATACAATAGGCTGTAATTCCCCAGAATGTGAAACGACCTAAAAATATATTACCATTACATAAAAATTTAAAAATGCTACATATCTTCATATTTAAATTAATATTGCATATGATTCGTGGCATTACCGGCAACACTGGCCATATTGACTACTCGTCCGCCAGATTTCCTCAAAAGTGGTAAACAATGTTTGGTAACTCTAACCAAACCAAACACATTGACCGCAAAAGTCTTCTCGAAGATAT